CCCCCCCCCCCCCCCCCCCCCGGCGGCCATTACGGCTCCGTGTCCAGCAGCGGCTCGCCGTCCTCCACCGGCAGCTTCGAGCGCGTCGCCAGGGACAACGGCGAGAGGGGGCGGGGCCTGGTGACCACGCCCATCGAGATCTGCGTGTAGACACGCCCCCTTAGCCCTTTAGCCCCGCCCCCACACCCTCGATTTGAGGCTGCGTGAGCGCCGACCGGCCCGGGAGCCGCGGGTTTCCCCTCGTTACCGGGGAAACGGCGAGCGGCGCCCGGCGAATGGCGGTGGGTTTTGATTCGCCGGCGGATAGAAACCCGGAAAAGGACGAACGGACCCGGAAGTCCACAGAAACCAGGAGCTCCGGACGACTTCTGAGGACTATTTCCTGTTCTTATTTATTTATTTTGGTCACATTAATATATTTCTGATTCGTTCTGTGTGTTGTTTTAATTTAATTTATATGGAAAAACAAAAAATCCTGCTCCACGGAGAAAAGTAGAAGCAGGTTTTCTCTTTTGTCGTCACCATGTTGTCGTTGTGATCTCAATAAAAACTAGATCTAGTCTTTTCCCTCTTTAGGTGTTTCTGAGGCCCAAAACGTTTTTTAAGACTTTTATATCTTTGAGTTCCTGTGTTGTTCTTTCGAATCCAGGACTCGAACAAACCCTCTAATTAATGATTGCTTGAAAACAGAATAATAATAAAAAAAAGCAGAATAGAGTATTTAGGGGACTAAATGTCCTCCTTTCTGAGCCTCGAGCCTAAAAATCTGGAGGAAAAGAAACCTTCAAATGTTGGGATCATCGTGCTTTAGAAGCCAGATTTAGCTTTTTTGTGTGCGTTTGTTGCATGAGGTGACTTTACTGTGCGAGTACTTCTTGAAATAAAACTCCTGAATAAGAAATAAAGTTTGTGTGGAATTGTTTGTCTTTGAGAAAAGGACTCGTGTATTTAACATTATTAACATTATTTCCTGTCCATAAGGCGGCCGTGAGCAGCTTCTGGAACTTTATCTATCTGCCATTTTTCCTGCAATGCGCTGCATGAAAGCTCCAGAAAACATTTGAGAAAATGAACCTGAAATGTATCCTCGTCTTTGTCTTTTAAAGCCGTTTGATGAAAGTGTGTCTGACTCAGCAAACTCCTAACGCTC